ACCATTATAACTTCATTCCCCTCTCCCGCAATGAGAAGGTTTACTAGACAGTTCTGAAATGAAATCACATAGCTGAAGGAGGAATCCTTTTATCTTACAGCAACTTCCTTTGTGATAAAAGGTTTGGGGAGGTGGCCCTGTGAATAAAGGTCTAAAGGTATGGGGTTTCTTTAGCTTAGAGAGAAGAAGCAAGCATGGTGAAGAGGACTTATTAATAGTCTCTGAGACTATGAGGGATACTCTCTGAGTGATAGAAAGCAGCTGTTTCCTGTCTCCACCAAAAGCTGGATAAGAAGAATAGAGTTCAATTGCAACAAGTGGGTTTAAGAACTCTCTGCTCATAAAGTTCAAGACAATAAACCCACGAGACAAAAGTCATTTCTCTATTTCACAATTGTGAAGCTTACTGTCTTTTTTTGGAGTTGTTTATGCATAGGCTATTCTTGAATATTAAATGATTTTTTTTTATAAAAACCTTTCACCAGGTGAAAGAGTCTGAGGTTGTCCTGCCTCTGAGTCTTTCAGTGCTCCATAAAGAGAATTCCCTGCTCTTGAGTCTTTACTGAGATTTAAACTGAAAAAACTTGGGAGTCTTTTTCCTTGATTCTGGCTTTCTTTTGAAAGCAAGAGAACCCAGATTCTCTCTTACTCTAAGAGGTAAAGATCATTCTCACAGTTTTGGTAGTTTGTATCTTTCCATATATTTGGTCAGTGTAGTCATGATGCTTGTGTGTGTGTGTGTGTGTGTTGGTCCTAGGGTTTGAACTCAGGGCCTAGATGCTGCCTTTAGCATTTTTTTGCTCAAGGCTGGTGTTTTATCGCTTGAACCAAGCTCTACTTCCAGTTTTTTTTGGTGGTTAATTGGAGATAAGAATCTGAGGGAAACCAGGCAGCCTATGTGGCTTTGGGTCTTGAGTGCTTTGCTTAGGATAATGCTTTCCAAGTCTTTCCATTTCCTTACCAATGGGGGAGTGTCATTCTTCCATGGTTTCCCTCATTTGTAATCATTAAAATGTGCCAATAAATCTACATGTAAACCCAATGGATTATACCTGGACATGATTAATTGAACAGCAGTGGAAACATTCTGAACTCCAAGAAATAGAAACAAGAGTTATGTTTGTTTTTTAAATTGTACTGTTTACAGTTATTTCTTTTTTCTTCCTTTTTCTCAGTTGGTTTATTTGCTGTTGTCAGTTTTTGGTTTCTGTACACTTTGTCTTATGAAGTTTATCTGATTTGGGGCAGGAAAGGGGAATCGCAGAAATGGTGGGACAATGGGTGAAGCAATTCAACAATGATACTCAGTAGACACTATGTTGGAAATGAACTACAACTTGGGGTGGGGGAAAGTGGGAGCAGAATGAGGGATGGTAACACTGGCCAAAGAGAGATGTACTGATTAGCTTGCTTATTAACTGTAACTCCTCTGTCTGTCACCTTTATAATGAAGTTTTAAAAAAATCTAAAAGTAAAGAACAATAAATAAAATCATGTAGCTGAAGGACATGACCATGCATGGATTTCCTGTAGCTCCAGAAGCCTTAGTTAGGGCCATGATCTGTCTTAGAAAACACTATTGTTCCACGATAGAATTTTTAAAATCTACTTCTAATATTCCCTCCTCAAGAATATACTGCAATTGTTCTTTATTTGCCTGAACTAGAGGTATCTTTTCCAAAGTCTCAATGCTAGTCTGCAGCTTGTGTTTTGTAACTATATTCTTAGACAAGACTGAATCTCCTTGACTCCAACAAAAAGATTAAAAATTCATTGTTGGTGGTAGTGTAAACTTGTCAACCACTTTGGAAGGCAGTATGGAGGTTCCTCAAAAGACTCCACATAGAGCGCCCCTATGACCCAGCAATCCCACTTTTGGGCATTTACACAAATGATCACAAGCAAGACCATACTAAAGCTACCAGCACAACTGTGTTTATTGCAGCATTATTTACCATAGCTGAGATATGAAACCAACCCAGATGCCCCTCAGTAGACGAATGGATCAAGAAAATGTGGTATATATACACAATGGGATTCTATGCCTTCATCAGAAAGAATGATATTGCCCATTTGTTTGGAAGTGGAAAGACTTGGAAAAATTATATTACATGAAGTAAGTCAGGCCCCCAAAAACATAGGTCCCATGGTTTCCCTTATTTGCAATAACTAGTATATGTCTGAGACAAGCAGAAATGGTCAGATAAGTTGATATCAGGTGAAATGAACTCCAAGATAAGGACTCAAATGGTTTCTCTTTCTTGCTATTGTTCCAAACATATTTATAAGATTATTTCTTTGTTGCTTTGTATGTCCCTCCCCCACGGTATAACCCCTGTTTTCACTGTATTTGATTTTGGTATAATTTGTGGAATGGAAGGGAAAAAAACAAATTGTTTAAATAGGGATATAGGTGGACCCATTGTAACAATGAGATGTACAAGACGTTATGTTGAAAAACGAACTTTACAACTTTGGCGCGGGGGGGGGGGGGGGGGGGGGGGGGGGGGGGGGGGGGGGGGGGGGGGGGGAGGGGGATGGGAGGGAGATGGGAAGGGATGGGAAGGGGAAACAAAGGAAGAGGCAACAATGCTTGACAAAAAAATGTACTCATTACCTTGCTCATGTAATTGTAACCTGTCTGTACAGTATTTTCACTATATATATATATATTTAAAGGATCTCAGGAACCGTCCTGATGGGTTGGTGTCAAACCACAATTTTCAGATTGCAGCCTCATGGGTAGCTCAGATTACAGAAGTGAGCTATTGGCACCAGGTCTAGTCATGAGTTCTTTTTTAAAATCTGTCTTCAGTGAGGCTGAATACTATGTGTATTTGATATATGCCATAGTCACTGATATAGTATGTATATTTAATTTGAATATATAATTTATAAAATAGTATGTTAGTTCTAAAGAAGGATAAGACAAATATGATATGAATTAGGAGCATATCCAATATACACAGCTTTATGTAATAAAGCATTGTGATTAGGTGTCAGGTAGAAAAATTTAAAGATGAGAAACATGAGTTGTGGGTATTTTATTAACTTGTAGCCAGTAAGGCAGATGGAAATGTCCAGAAATTTCTTCTCTACCATTGTTCCATTTTTATCCCCTACTATGTTAATTATGTCCATTTATTTTGGTGACTTATTTGTCCAATTAGGGTTTCTTTTCAGGGCAAGCTTTGATTCTCAGAGGATTGACTGACATGAAGCTGAGTCTTTTTTTGTTTGGTTTGGTTTTAAGCTGAGTCTTTAAAGTTGCAGCTATGTCAGTGTTAACTGCATGCATTCCACTGTGTTCATTGTACCAATGCTGGCTGTAATCTAGTTGAAGATCTCTGCTCTGTTGCTGAGTGCTTTCATGACATCTGTCAAGGGGTCAGGGTGAATCATGATCCAGCTCTGACTCTCATAATGTTTTTGGTCTTCAAAAATCCAGCACTCAAGTGGGAAAATGACTTGGGGTGGCTTCACATCCTCCCTGCATTTCCATTTCCTTAATCTGCCTGACAGGAATGTTATAAGGATTAAATGAAGTGAAATAAGGTGCATCAAGCCCAGAGCCCATTGTGCATAGCCCTTGAGTCATGCAACTTTGCTTTAACTCACAGAGGAAACTCTTGTCTTCTACAGGACATGATTTGCCCTAGTTTCTTGTCACTTGGTGGGGTTCATTCAGGCTAGAGGCAGTGTTGTAGAGGAGTTTGTCTGAAATTAACAAGGACACCAAGAGTCCAATTCTATGAACATTTTTTCCTATACTTAAAAGAAAATGTTTGGCTGGGTGTCAGTGGCTCACAGAGGTTGAGATCTGAAGACCCAGGTTTGAAGCTAGCTGGGCAGAAAAATCCACAAGACTCTTATATTTCCAATCAACCAGCAAGAAGCAGAAATGGAGGTGTGGCTCAAGTGAGGAGCACTAGCAAAGCAAGAGTGTGGTACATTGAGCTCAAGCCCTAGTACTAGCACAAAATAAAAAGGACTGGAATCAAGGTTCAAGTGGCAGAATACCCAGCTGTGAGCTAGCAAGCTGGGGAGAATGTGAGGCATGAGTTCAAGCCTGAAAGCCAGAGAATCATCAAAGGGTTGGGGAGGGCATACGAAATGCCAGAGCTTGAGCCCCTGGAACTTGGCATGTGAACCTGGCATGTGAAATGCCAGAGCTTGAGCTCCTGGGTTTGGGAATGGATTTACTGTAGCTCCAGGAGTCTTAGGGTCATGATCTCTTAGAAAACACTATTGTTCCAAGATAGAATTATTAAAATCTACTTCTAATATTCCCTCCCCAAGAACATACTACAGTTGTTCTTTATTTGCCTGAACTAGAGGTATCTTTCCAAAATCCCAATGTCAGTGCTCAGGCTGATTTGCTTTCTGTCTCTCATCCGCCCACTGTGCCAGACTTCTGCCCAAAGTCACGCTTAGATTACAGGATGTGGAATATCTTTATAAATCACAGCAAGTCATTTTGAGAGTAAAACTCCCACTTAGAGGCTTACCCCCAAAGCAGAGGTAGGTCACATATTTTAATGCTTGTAGATTTGGGAAACAAGATCAGGACCTTTTATTCTCTTTATTAGAGGGAGATTTACAATTCAAACACTTCAGCGGGTGAGCATGGGCCCTTCCCTCTTGCCCGTCCCCTGTACCCAGTCCCCCAAATTAAAGAAATAGGGAATCAGGACAAGACCATTAACTTAATAGCCTGGAATTTATGGCTACAGTCCTACAAGGCAAAGTCAAATAATTGCTGTCTCTTTCTTTATAGTTCCTGTCATCTTTCTCATAACACTCAGCTGATTTAGTGGCTCATTGTTTCATGTCCAATGACCTAGGGTTATGTTAGAATGTATATAGTCGTGAATAATAATATGTAGACACACTAGGTGACTAATTTTAGATAATGAACTGGAATAATGGTAAGGGTTTGGGTTTAGTTATGGTGTCAGTTTGCCAACTGAGCATTGTGTTCTTGCTCTTTTCTGCTCTAGATTCTCAAATCCAAGGACTTAACATCACCAACCCAGCGCTACATTGACAGCAAAGTGGTAAAGACGAGAGGAGAGGGAGAATGGCTCTCCTTCGACGTAACGGATGCTGTCCATGAATGGCTTCACCATAAAGGTTGCAAACCATCTTCTCTTCCTCTCCTGGTCATGGGATCAGCAGCCCAAAGTTATTGTATATCAATGACAGATTTCAGGGTGTGAACACATATACAAATGGTCTCTTTGACTTACTGTTTTTCAGACAGGAACCTGGGATTTAAAATAAGTTTACACTGTCCATGCTGTACGTTTGTACCTTCTAATAATTACATCATCCCAAATAAAAGTGAAGAGCTAGAAGCAAGATTCGCAGGTAATTGAAACTTGGTCATCTGCCAAAGTGTGGTGGGGGAGGGAGGTGAATGGTGAGAATGTCTTTTTGGATAAAGTTAATTCACATGTCCAAGTAGGATTGGTTGGTGAGGAATGGGCTGTCATTCATTGGGTCATGATATGCTTGGAGGAAGACCGTAGAAAAGATTAGAGAAAATTGAGCTTCCAGCTTTCCTTTCTCAATGCTGGATGATAACTGGGTCAATACTAACTGGCTCATTCACCTGAAAAATAGATTTCATTGAAGAAAAAAAAGAAGGAGTCTTCTCATTCCTTAGGTTCTGTAGCTCACCTTTCATAGATCAGATTACCCCGCCTTTTTGTAGCCTACACTCAATAGTTTAAGTGGCTTTCCTACTGGATTTTCATAATAGCTTTTAAACAATGTCCAACAAGGCTTCAGTTTTCCCCATGCTCTCCTTCAAGGGAATTAGCCAAAATGCAGGGAAAATGAGACAAGACAAAGGGTTCCAGTCACTTGCTGTGTCCAGTGGTGGCTGGGAGAGGAGAGGTGAGCAGGAAGTCCCTTCTTTCCCACATGCCTGGTATAGCACCAACCTATGCTGTCAGGTGAAGCCATGGGTTTCTCTTCTCCCAGTTCTATCACTCATGACCTCAGTGTACTTTTAGGAGGGTTACCATAGCTCTTGGTCATGGAAAAATACTCCCAGTGGCTGAGAGATTTATTTCAGTCTCCAACCAAGCCACAATTCTCCTGAGTGGGAGATTAAATGCTTAAACTGGCAGTCTCTTGAGCATGCTTTGGGGAGCTCTAGTTTCTCAATCTCAGATGGAATCAGGGAAAATGTTGGGCTTGCCATAATATAAATGAAAAAGCCCTTTCTTCCTAGCTCTCCCAAAATAGCATGAGGTAAGGGTGACTTCTGTTTGACTTGAGTCTCGGTGTGTGTTTCTTAGGAAAGTCTTCTGTGTTTAGCAGTCTTAGGATCAGCATGAACCAGCAGGTCACAAGGCCTGGTCTATGGCTGTGTTTTGGTGTCCAGAGTTTAGACATAGCCTACACTGAGGACTGATGAAAAGAAACTGCCTACATTGCCCTTGGACCAGGGCTCCAAGTCTTCTTCCATAGATCCTATAGAAGACCTTTGACTCTGCCTTGGACCCTGAACTGCCTGCCAACAAAAGCCCTATTTAAAGGTGTTTGTTACTACCTGCAGGAGTCCTATTATACCATGTCTGTTGCCATGGGGGAAATGACTCTAGCCAGCCACCGTTATGTTGTCATCACTGCTATTTGTGACAATAGACAATAGAGGAAAAGAAAATACGTAGCTGATGATGTATGATGAAGGTAAAGCTAAATGTTGATTACCCAAATGCATTTTTTCAAGGTATTGATGGTGCCTCCACATATACCAGTGGTGATCAGAAAACTATAAAGTCCACTAGGAAAAAAAACAGTGGGAAGACCCCACATCTTCTGCTAATGTTGTTACCCTCCTACAGACTGGAGTCACAACAATCCAGCCGGCGGAAGAAGCGTGCTTTGGATGCGGCCTATTGCTTTAGGTAAAGAAATGAAAATACAACCAAATGATTCCATCGGTTTGCTCTTGTTCTGCCTTTGCATTCTTCTTCTAGCCATTGTCCTGGATGGTACTCATTGCTCAAGGCCTGGTATAGGATGGCAAAGTTCCTATGTCTTGTAATATCACCCTCCAGACAGAGGTTAAAAACAGTTGTTCTACTGTTATACTCCTCAGCTTTCTAGTATTAAATCAAGCATGATGGGAGCAAACTAGACCTCCCAAAGGTAATTCCTCAAAAGTACTTTGGTATTGAAATAGAACATGAGCTCTCTGCATCTTTCTGCCTACCAAGTCAGTATTTATTGAGATCTGTGGCACTGATGTGGTAAGACAGGAAGGCCCAGCATTGTCTGAGACTTTTGCCCACACGTTAGAGGGTCTGTGGTCTGATCTTCACAATAGCAGCAATGAGACAGCAGCAGAATCCTGTTGGCCATGCCATAGGCTACAGGATTAGACAGAAATGAGGAAATAGAGGAAGAACTTATTTCTTCTTCCCACACGAATTCATGGAGGGAGAAAATTCTTTCTTATTAAGCTTGGTGAGAGGAAGGAGCTTTACTTTGAGAGTCCTGGTCAGTGCAGGGTCTTCTGTGCTCAGACTACTACAGGCCATAAGGAAAATGATATTGTGTGTGTATGTGAATGCGCACTTGTATTAGGGCTTGAACTTAGGGCCTGCACTGTCCCTTAGCTCTTTCACTCAAGGCTGGCACTCTACCACTTGAACCATAGTTCTACTTCTGGCTTTTTGATGGTTCATGAGAGTTAAAAGTCTCATGAACTTTCCTTCCTGGTCTACCTTTGAACTGTGATCCTCAGATCTCAGCCTCCTGAGTAGCCAGGATATCATGTGTGAGCCACCGGCATTCAGCTAAGAGAATGGCATTGTTTGGTTGTCAGAGCCACTGGTGATACTGCAAGACTCCATTTTTTTTTGGGGGGGGTCAGGTCATGGGGCCTGAACTCTGGGCCTTGGCACTGTCCCTCAGCTCTTCAGCTCAAGGTTAGTACTCTACTACTTGAGCCACAGCGCCACTTCCAGCTTTTTTTCTTTTTGCTTATGTGGTGCTGGGGAATCGAACCCAGGGCCTCATGCATGCAAAGCAAGTGCTCTACCACTGAGCCACCTTCCCAGCCCCCATTTTTTTTAATCTTTGATTTTTGTGATTTCTAGACCAATTAGCAGATGGTAAAATACAGGATATATTCTCAAAGGAAAATATCAGGTTGCAAATAGCTATTGAATTTCTTAAATGTAAAGTAGCAAGGGAGACAAGGTTGTTTTGAAAGGATTTAGTCCCTTTCCATCACCTTCTTCTTTATGTCTAATTATTTGAGGGTGAGGTTGACTTTCTTACTCACAGACAATGCAATCAGGGTAGAGAACTCATAAGGGAACATAGTCTAGTGAATCTCCACAACATTCTACCATGAAGGTCCCTTGATTACAATAAAACCATCAACATGTGGCCCATGATATTTGCTCATTAGATGTAACTTGCATATGTGAATAATCCTTCTGTTAGTTTGTATTTTTTTTTTTACTTTGGGGTGAGGTGGATAGGAAATCATCTTAAAAGTCTGCATTGATTTTTTCTTTTAACAGAAATGTGCAGGATAATTGTTGCCTGCGTCCACTTTATATTGATTTCAAGCGGGATCTTGGGTGGAAATGGATACACGAACCCAAAGGGTACAATGCCAACTTCTGTGCTGGTGCATGCCCATACTTATGGAGCTCAGACACTCAGCATAGCAGGGTAAGTGTTTGGTTAACTTACCTCTTCCATTCTTATGTTTTCAGGTATACCTGCTTGCCTGCATTTCTAACTGAATTGCAATTGAAATGGTGCCTTCCTACCTTGTCACCTGAATGGGTGCTGGACATACTTTCTATTGATGAAGAATAAGAGGAATGTAACACTGTGGTCAGTTAAAGCTGTAGGTCAGAAGCAAGTTGGAAGAATTTTTAAGTTTTCTTCCTTTTATATTCTTTTTTTTTTTTGCCAGTCCTGGGGCTTAACTCTGGGCCTGGGCACTATCCCTGAGCTTTTTTGGCTCAAGGCTAGTGCTTTATCACTTGAGCCACAGCACCACGTCTGGCTTTTTCTGGGTAGTTTATTGAAAAATAAGAGTCTCATGGACTTTTTTTTTTTTGCCCCAACTGGCTTCAAACTGCCATCCTCAGATCTCAATCTCCTGAGTAGCTAGGATAACAGGCATGAGCCACTGGAGCCTGGCTTATTTTATATTCTTGATAGCTAAAAGCACAGATAGGTAAGAAATTTAAAAAATATACCTTTCTGAATCAAAATGCCCATCATGGTTGTGTGTATAGTGAAGATGTGAAGAGACTCAGGTCTGTATTTAAAAAGCTTGGGGACTGTCATACTAGAAAGAATATTGAGGAGCCAAGTGCTGGTGGCTCATGCTTGTAATCCTAGCTACTCAGGAGGCTGAGATCTGAGGATTGGGGTTCAAAGTCAGCCCAGGCAGGAAAGTCCAAAGACTTATCTCCAGTAAACCACCAGAAAACCAGAAGGGTACTGTGGCTCAAGTGGTAGAGCGCTAGCCTTGAGCTGAAGAGCTGAGGGACAGCACCCAGGCCCAGAGTTCAAGCCCCATGACTGACCAAAAAAAAAGAATATTGGGGACTGCAGCTGATTCTTTGTGATACGGATTTCCTAGTGTATCACAATTAAGAACCCGTTTAATCTTTCTGAATCTCTCCGGCCACACTCTTCTCCCCTGTCCCCAAGGAATATCTATACTAAAAACTATCCTTGAAATAATAAGACCATACAAGAAATCTGATATATATGAAATTGCATTGGAATACTAGTGTTTTTGTCATGTTTAATATAATTCAACATACACAAGAATTGGAGTGTTTAATCAGTGAGGCTCAGGATAGAAGGCTGAATTCAGAAGGCAAGTTCTAGGTTGAGTGTTATGGGTTCCCAGCCCAGATTGGCAAAATAATAATGATACTTGTCCATATGCTTTCTCTTGGTGGCTCATGATTTAGGATCTTACTGATGGGAAGGCCTTCACACATTTTCTTGTTCAAACCTTTCATTAAAAAAAGAAAAAGAGTAAAAGTTTTGTGTCTAGATGATGTGGATGACTTACCCAAGATCAAAGAAGAAAATTAGTGACAAGCCAGGGCTCAGATGTCTTGTTTTATAGTCAGGCCCTGGTTTACCCGATCGTACTGAGTTTAATTCCTAAAATGTGGCTGCATGTGAGGTTTCTATTTTGTTCTTTATGCCTCTGTAAATCTCCCTATTAAAGAGGCATTAAAAAAATTGCCTTCACTGCAGGGTAGGAAAATGAATCTCAGCCAAAAAGATCACATAATGCATTCAGCTGGATTCAAGAGTTTGGGGGTTATCAATTATTTTAGACAATCTGAGTTATAAAAATCACTCTCTGGTTCTTATGAAAAATCATGTGTTAGTAGAATATGAAGTATATTTATTTAGAAATGCCTGCGGAGGCTGGAGTTGAAATTGACGAATATGGCTCCCCTTCTTCCAGCCCTTCTCCCAGGTCCCCCGTAGGCTTTGGCACTCTGGACTACCATGTGTTTGGCCACGTGAGGAGCACTTGCGCAGGCCTGTCCTTTTGTCTGCATGCTCTGGCCAGGCTGCTTCATCTGGGCTGCGGGAGCAGTAGCTGTAATGTGGGCAGGGCCCAGTTGCCAAGAAGAAACCTAATTCTCCTCTGTGAAACACAGAGTGAGTGTGTGGAAGCTGAGACCATGCTTGTTTTTCAAGGAGAGAGGAAGAATAACTATGATGGTCACAAATATGTGGTTTGGACAGTTACCCAAGAAGCCAGGGGAGCTTTATAAAGTAGTCAGTGTTGCTGCGCTGAACAGATCTTCTGTCTTAGGCTGAAAAATTGCAGTGAATCTCGAGGAAAAGGTCACTTGTTGTTTGACTAACACATTAAAGGCATCCTTGGAAATGTCAGTGGAGAACGTCCATACTTCTGTTTTTGGTCGTAGGGCTTGAACTCAGGGCCTGGGCATTTTCCCTGAACTCTTTTCGCTCAACACTAGCGCTCTACCACTTTGAGCCACAACTCTACTTCTGGTTTTCTGTTGGTTAATTGGAGATAAGAGTCTCATGGACTTTCTTCCTCAGGTTGGCTTAGAACTGAATTCTTCAGATCTCAGCCTCCTGAGGATTACAGGCATGAGCCACCAGTGCCTGGCTCTATATCTCTATTAGTCAAACTCGCAAATCCCTCTGGGACAGATGGAGATAAAGGTTCAAGATTAATGATAGAATATTAACTTCAGTCTAACCACTACCATTTACCACATGGAAGGTTAATTATTATTACGGCTTTAAGAAAATGCAAAGTAAACAATTCAGAATGTGCATTGCTTTGTATGTCATTCTTTGTACCGTATAATTATGAAGCAATGGATGAAAAATGATCAATGATTATTTGGGGAAGGGTCAGGGGAATCCTGGGGATTGAACTTACTTAGACCCTTGTATTTGGTAAGCCGGCACTCTACCACTTGAGTTATGCCTCCAGCCCCTTTGTTTTTTTTCCACTGGACTGGACCTGAATCCACTCTTTTTCATGATTGAGATAGGTTCTTGCAAATTTTTGCCCAAACTAGTTTTGAATGGCAATCCTACTTTTCTCAGTCTGGATTACATGATATGAGCTCTTTCTTTCCTCCCTCCCTTCCTTTTTTCCTTTCTTCCTCTCTTCCTTCCTTCTTTTCTTCTTTCCTTTTTCTTTCTATCTTTCTAATTTAAATTTAGGTGACATTATACTGCCACTGAAGATAGTTAACACAGAAGATTAGATTTTTGCACACAGGTGTCTTTTCCTGTACCCAAGGGTAAAGTTCTAATGGGACTTGAACACAGCATCTTATTTTTCTACTTTTCCATGCACATTTTTTTCTGGGTCTCCCATATTTGTTGAGTTGTTTTTGTTGGAAGACTTACCATGACTACAGAGTATAAAGACTATAGAATCCCGGGTAACAAGGGAGCTCTTCATATAGGTGACCATTTAAAATGAGTCCTCACTAAACAACTTCAGTTTTACATTTGGGTAGAAACAATATAAAATACTAAGAGGCTTGGAAAGCGGGTATAGTAGAGCAATAATCAGAGTAGACTTACCAAGGAATATAAAAAGAAGAAAAATCACTGAATCAGCAAGTTTATCCAAGTTGATTCTTACAGAATCATTTGTTTAATATATACCAGAGAGAGGGGGGGGAAAGAGAGAGAGAGAGAGAAGAGAGAGAGAAAGGAAAGAAGGAAAGAAGGAAGGAAGGAAGGAAGGAAGGAAGAGAGGGAGGGAGGGAAGGAGGGAGGGAGGGAGCGAGGGAGGAAGGAAGGAAGGAAGAAAGGCAAACAAGCATGCTATGGGGAAAGACTCAAATTGGTGATTGTGTAAGACACATACCATTCTGACCAGAAAGTTCAGTCAAAAAAATTTAATGCCAAATAATTAAAGTTGCCTGTTCAGTGCTGTGACTGATTTACAAAGCAATCTGAAGTGGTTCTTTAAAAGTATTGTTTTTTGTGTTTGTATTTGGTCTGTCGCTATATCATGTCTGCTCTGTGGTGTCCATTCAGGTCCTCAGCCTGTATAACACCATCAATCCAGAAGCTTCTGCATCTCCCTGCTGTGTATCCCAAGATTTGGAGCCACTAACAATCCTCTACTACATCGGCAAAACCCCCAAGATCGAACAGCTTTCTAACATGATTGTCAAGTCTTGCAAATGTAGCTAAGGTTCCCGGCCAAGTGACCAGACAAAAATCACAGTGACAACGACGACGACAACGATGATGATGATGATGATGATAAATGATGATAATGATGATGTCAATGATGTTCACCACAAGAAAACACAAGAAAGCCTTGGTTTATCAGTGTTAAAAATGTTTAGAAAAAGCGGTACCAGTTTGTGTTCTGTTTGTTAAAACTGGCATTGAAAAATAACAAAAACAAAATGGAAGGCTTTATTCCACATTTCACCTCCTTGTTAAGTGAGAGACACAAGAAGCAAAATCTTTGTTTTTAAAGAAAAAATAAACACTGGAAGAATTTGTAAGTGTTAATTATGTGAAAGAAAACAAACAAAAAAATCAAAAAACAAAGCAAAAACCAGGAAAACCTGTTCAGTGGAGTTCTTGTCCATACCTTTGCTATCCCACACCTCACTTGATTTTTCTATATTGCTGAGAAATGAGCAGCCACCCTTCCCAGCCTTAGAGTTAAGCGTGAGTTATTTATTGTGTGTTGCTATATAATGAACGTGTCATTGCCCTTGAAAAATAAAACAGGTGTATAAAGTGGAGACCAGAAATGTATGGCTGGCTGAAGGAATTTGAACTCAAATGAGCCAGAAAAAAACAAAAAGGAAAAGAAAAAAAAAGAAAGAAGAAAAGAAAAGAAAAAAAAAGAGGTCACATTAATGGCAGGAATATCCAAGTGACTTATTACATGACCAGAGCTGGTCTGCAGTAAGATGAAGATACTTGGAACACCTGCTTTGTACCAACTGGCAAAGGAAACTTTGTGTAAGGTTCAAACACTACAATGCTTATGTTAATAAAGAAAACTTTCTGTCAGAATAAGTCTGTTAGATTTTTTCTTCCTTTTAATTGTAAATGGTTCTTTTGCAGTTTAGCAAACCAATGAAATATGGAGATATTTTGACATGTATTGGTCAAACTTTGGATCTTAAAAGTAGCGCTATGCTACAGGATTTTCCTTTGGAGATATATATATATATATATATATATATATATATATATATATATATATAGCCTCAATTGTATTATTCAAATAGATGGGCATAAAAGGTAGTATAATTGAAAATACATCTACAGATCTCTGTTGGAAACTATTAAATCAAAATATTAACTGCATGTAATGTGTAAATTCTTACCTTAATTTTTTGTACTCTGTAATAGTGTCAAGTATGATTTAGATTGGACTTCAAATTTGGGCTCTTAAAATAATTATTCACAATTGTAAAATGTTTCTTTTTGCTAGCCAGTCCTATTGAGTAAAATCCTGAGCTTTTTGACTTGCACTACAAATACATTTTTCACAGTACCTTCTCTTGTGCATTGTCTAGTATCCGTTCTTGCCATTCTTACGACAAGTTATGTGGGTCCACTTTTCCTTCTTTCTTAACTTCCTAAAAACAGATTGATTTGAGTTGAGAAGTCTTCCTTCATCTTCTAAGCATTGCTCCTAATCAAGTCAGATTTAAAATATCCTGTGTGGGAAACACGGGGGACACTGTGGAGACAGACAAGTCTGCAACATGTAGTGTAGGAAAGGCTTAGCATTTGAACTCAGGCTATGATAGGCTCATCTAACTTGATTTAATTAATATTTCACAGAATCTGAGTTTTGTTTAAAAACAGACAGCACAAAGGAAACTTTGTGAGTGAGTGTGTGTGTGCGCGTGTGCACGTGTGTGTGTGTGTGTGTGTGTGTGTGTATGCTGGTACTGAGGTTTGAAATCAGGGCCTAGGCACTGTCTGTTACCTTTTTCATTCAAGCCTAATGCCCTACCACTTGAGCCACAGCTCCACTTCCAGCTTTATGGTAATTAATTGTAGATAAGAGTCTCAAGGACTTTCCTGCTGGTTTCAAAGCATGATCCTCAGATCTCAACATCTTGAGTAAATAGGATTCCAGGCATGTGCCACTGGTACCAGACTCTGAAACGTCGTTTTAAAAATTTTCAGTGTTGGGGAGGATTGAAAGGAACCCATTTTAGATGATTTTCCCCCCAAAGGGGAAAAATTCCAGGTCAGCATAAAAGTTATTTCATTTATTTCCTTGGAATTAAAATTTGCATAGACATTCTTTGAAGGTTGAAAGGGCACCAGCTAAATTCTCCCAGGAGCAAAGTATTCTCTGATTCATTGGAGTGTGGGTTCTTTAGCGCTGTCGCTAGCCCTTACTCTGCTTTAAGAATAATCTGACAAGATCACTGTAGAGGAAGTTCTGCATCTCCAGGTTTGGTAGGAGATGCTTGTCACTTATTAAATTACAAAAGAATAGATAAGACAATAGAATATTTGCAGTTTCACCTAAAGGACAGCATAATAAGGCATGCAAAGAGAAACTATTTGATATGCAATACTTTTTTTTGTTGGTTTTTAAAATTTCCTGGCTCTTAGTGAAAATGGAGAATTTGACTGGCTAGTTAGTAGACGAGAAAAGCCAGAGATAAGATGCCAAAATCATGAATAACCCTTTGCTGGATGTAACCCAAACCCAGATTTGAGCGTGTTGATTTTTTTTCATTCTCTTTCAATGTTTAAAAAAAAAATATTTCTGTGTAGATCACTTTGATTTCTGCAGGTATTTTCCTCTTGGATAAAATTACACTTTTGTTTTGTATTATTTTGTCTTTCTTTATGAATGCACTGATAATATTTTAAATGCTCTATTTTAAAATCTCTTGAGTCTTTTTTGTTTTTGAGGGTTCTGTAAGATCTTTACTTCCCATAAGTAAAATTTGAATATTGCTGCAGGAGGAGAGGGAGAGGGAGGGGAAAAGGAAGCGTTAGGATTGGGTGGGATAGCAGTTTGTCTATGTTCTGCAGCAGTACAATTTTGTGGTTGGCATGGTTTTAAAAAACGGAACATAAGAATAGCCGTTTTGTATCTTGATGACCAATTATGCTGTATTTTAACACTATGTATGTTTGGGGTTTTTTTGTGGTGCTCTAGTGGTAAATAAATTATTTCAATTATGTGTGGCTGTGTTCTTCCTGACATACTACCATCTTGGAGGCTTTTAAACAAAAGAACACCTGTGGAGAGATGTTAGTATTCCTGACTGGAAAAGCAGAGCATCATAAACCTGCCCTTTGCTCCTTTCTGAAATGACATGCTTAAGCTTCCCAGAACATGTCTATCAAGAACTGAAGAAAAGCCTTGAGAAGTATTTATTATATTATTATTCTTATTACTATTATTAATCTTCTTGGGATTTGGTAATTGTTTGAAATTCAGTCTCCTTCCAGCTTGACTGTCTACCAGAAAGAAAAAAAAAATCAGAGAGACATTTGTACCATGATTTGGCTTTCTGGTTCTACGTGCTGCCAACCCCAAGGCCAAAAGCACTGGTCTAGACAGTATCCCCTAAAGCCCCATAACTCGGATAGTTGCTGAGACAGCCAGATGTAACAAGAGCCCCGTGCTCTGGTTGCTCTGGGAGCAGCTACTCGTCTCTCCGTTACCCTGGTACTATTGTGCGTACATACATACACATGCACGAACACATACACATGCATGCGCACCACACATGCTCACACAATATTTTGTTCCTGCACATTTCCTTGGCTCTTACCTTTAAGACTAGATTTCTCAAGTGAGTTTCCAGTCTCTTAATAACTAGAACTAATAAAAAAAATAGTAGTTGTGACTCAGTCTGGACTTTTTTTTTTTGCTTTGTGAAATGAAAGAACTAGTTTGAGCCTGCTGTTTCATCAAAACATCACATAGAAACAAGGCATCTATGGAGGGTTGAAGTCTCATAGAAAATAGCTCCTTTTTCTAAGTCTTGTCTTTGACCTTTTGTACTCAACACAAAGGCAAAGGGAGAGTTTTACAATAAACATAGTCCGTGTGTGTGTGTGTGCGTGTGTGTGTACCAGATATAGCAGGCCTGTTAATGCAGCTCACAACATGAAGGCATTGAAGGAAAAGAAAAAAAACCACCAACATCACTACTACCAACTTTGGAAAATCCCTCATTCATTCCATTTCAATTGTTCGCTGTCAGTGGCGGTGGTGAGGTCGGACCAGGGCCTCCTGCTTGTGTGTTAACAATACTCTATACCACCAAGCTGTACCCCTCACTGGTTCTTTTTCTGCTCTGCAGGATTTTGCCTGTTTGGTTTGGCACCCCTGTCATTAAGTGAATGAACCTAGGAAATGCACGTGGCGTGGTGTTTGCTCTATAATTGCTCATCAGTAAATGGTAGTCTTAACAGTACTTCTCTGCCTCTTCTGGCTTTGGTTTCTAGGCAATTGTGCTGTGATGAGCTGATATATTTGCAGTCTGGGGCTCTTCACCATCTTGACATTAATGTGTAAGATCTCCAGAACCTTATCATAGAGCACCATCAAGTCATCGCTCCTTCGGGAGACTATTCTGAAACTCTCTATATTAACCTTTTGACTCTATAATGGGGCAAAAATGGCTTGAAAAGAGAGGGAATGTTCATTTTAAGTTTTGCTTAAATCTCTCAACAACAACAAAAACAATTCAGAGAGGTTGAGAACGTAGCTTAGTGGCAGAGTACTTGCCTAGAATGCATGAGGCCCTGGGTTCAATTCCTCAGTGCCACATAAACAACAACAAAAAACAATTAAAATTAAAAGAAAAACATTAAAAAATTCAAAGATGCAAAGTAGCTAGACAAATGACCTTCTCTCTAACATGGTCATAATTGGACACCTCACCTATAAGCATAGTTCTCTGCTGAAGGACTTAATTTTGCCCTTCATCCTATGATATGAGCGGGTTTTTATACATCTTCATTATACAGGAAAGTGAGTTGAATCACAATGGTTAAATTACCTCCTCCAAACCATGTGCTTTGTAATATAAATTGAGATGTGCTAGATGTATAAAATATCCACCAAATTTTGAAAACTTGGCGCAAAATATGTGAAGCATAAAATGTTTCAATAATCATTTTTATAATCATTATCTGACTAAGTGATATATATATATATATATATATATATGTATGGGATAAACATGGGATTACATGAAGAATATTATTAAAATCATTTCCCAATTTCTTAAACTTATTATCTAAGTGATATATATATATATATATATATATATATATATATGGGATAAACATGGGATTACATGAAGTATATTATTAAAGTCATTTCCCAATTTCTTAAACTTATTTCATGAGTTGTTAGTTTTAAAATTACATATGTGGCTTCGTTTATGCCTTGATTTCTAGTTCTATCAGTTCTGGTATAATTTTTGGTGTTGTTTTATTTTGTTTTTTTAGACAAGGTCTCACTAGGGAGTCTGGCTGGAATTCATCATGCAGACTCGGTTAGCCTCTAACCCATATCCTCTTATCTCAGCCTCCTGAGTGCTGAGATTAGAGGTGTATTGTACAACACCATGCCTGGCACTGGTGTGAAATTTACAAGCAGCTCTATTGCATAAATAAAGGCTAAGCTACAATTCCAATAAGCTGTATTATCAGTGTTTGTTTTTGTAATTAACATATGATTGAACAGCCTTAGGTCCTAGCTCAGGAAAGCCTGTTTTTATAGGGTCAACATTTGCTGAATTTGGGCAGTGCCATGGAGCTCAACCTACCAATTGTGCTGACTCACAAAGGTGATAAAGACAATACAGGCACTTTATAAACTTCATTGGCAAAGCCTAGGTAAAAATGGATGATTACCTAGAAGCAATGCCCTGCTAAGAGGTGAACAGTGCAACTTACTCCAAGATGATCTGCCTTATCATATCAAATGTTGGCAGCTCCCAGAAACCTTCATTGTTGTGCTTGTGACATTTTTAAGAAACTTGCTTCAGGGAATTTTTTTTAAAGCTGAAAACTGACTGTGCTTGTCTGAGTCACAGATCTTGAAATGACATTGATTTTTCTCTCCAGACATAAGCTGAACTAAACGTCTCCTACTAACAAATCTTAGAAGGGGGCAGATCCAGGCCTTTTATTCTTGCAGCTAATATAAAGGGAGCAATAATCCCCCCTCTCCAAATCTAAAATAATATTTAGAGTCTTGGAAGGGGCTTATGCAAATGAAAAGCCAGGACATGTAAGTTTTCAGAGC